TACTGCTATTTATCTTTTATAATTTCAGACATCCTAGTCCCATGGACCACACTCTCCATTCTAGGAAGCCCTGCACTGGAACGAGTGGGCATGGTTTTTGTAGATGGTGGGCATGCAGGCACAGTGCAGGTGCCATGCAGTCACCTTATGGCAGTGTTGCCTCCAGGTCTATTGCTGCAAGTGTAGCCAGTGGCCATCCCTACTCATTGCTGCCTCTCCGATGACCTTGGCCAGTGTAGGCACCTCATAGGCCTGCAACAGATAAAATGAGGTCATAAAGAAGGACTTGGGGCACAGGGACTGCAGCTCTCAGCCTCTCAGCCTCTCCCATCAGCCACTCTCCTATGGCGCAGGGTGGTTGGTGTGATCAGTTGTACTTCAGCCCAGGCGCCCCAGGAGCTGCCGCAGAGCTGGAGCAGGAGGCCAGGGCTTGAGAGCTCTGGCTGGTCTGCACTTGGCACAGCCTGGAGCAGAACAGGAGATCAGGGTCCTGTGCCAGGAGAGCTTTGTCCTGTGGGCTCAGATCCCGCTTGTGCAGGCTGATTGGGCAAACGCTCCTCTGCGCCTTCCTCCTGCCACTGAACAAGAGTTAACTCCGAAAGCATCTCCCCCAGGATGCTGGCAGGGTTAAAAGCCTCTCCTCCGCTCACAAGCCTCAAGGATACACAGGCTTTTCCTCACGCAGGTAAGACAAATTGGACAACACCTGGGGACAATGCTAGTTTTTCTCTTCTTACCAAGCACTGGATGCTGTCCACTGTTTGCTCTTGGATATGGAGGTAAGGGAGGGCTGGGATGGCAGAACTGCTGCCTGTGGTTGGCAGGGCCTCACTCATGGTAGGACCCTCACAGGGATCCTTCTCAGCATGCTACCTGGGGCAAACCCAGCACTGGCACCCAGGGCTCCTGGGTGGCCCAGGTGTGCAAGCAGGATGAGGCTGCTGCTCATGCCTCAAACAAAACAATCCAGTCTTTTTTCAGGAGAAATTAATCTGGTGTCATCGCTGGCTGCCTCAGTCCAGACATCACCTCAAACTGGGAATTGATCGTTCCCAGAGTTCAGGACCCCACTTCCCGTTGCTACATGCTCTAGGTTATTCAGTCTACTCACCTGAGCGCAAATGGGATGTGGTGGCTTGGAGAGGAAAGCCACATCCTCCTGCAGGAGCACACCTGGCTTCCTGTAGGAGGAAGGGTGACATAACACACCCCAAAATGCTGGAGCTATGCAGAAGTGCACAATGGTGACATAAGGCACCTTGCTTCAGGGACCACACCAGAGCTGAGAGGCATCTCAGATGAGCGCATCACCATTGCGCTGATTGGGGGTACCTTCCTTCTTTGAAAGGGAATGACAGAAATCAACTGCCTCCCTAGCACCAGTGCTCCCTTTCTGCCCCTCTATCCATCCTGTCTCGATCTGTTAGCAGTGGGCAAAGGCACAGCTACACTGTGAAATACTTTGTAATTCATTA